AAACCCCCCAAAAAAAAAAAAACCAAAAAAAACCCCCAAAAAAACACACAAAAAAAAAAAAAACCCAAAAACCCCCAAACACCCAGGAACCCCACACCCCCCAAAAACCCCCCACACACCCCCACTGTGCTAAGGTAAAGGGTTTGCGAAAGGTGGTTGGGGGGTTTTTGCCCAACCCCAAAAAAATTTTTTAGGGGGTTTAGAGGCCCCCCCCAAATCCCCCGGGCAAATTGAAGATAGGAAAAAAGAAACCCCTCCGGGGGCCCCCCCCCCCCCCAAACACCCCCCGTCCCCTGAAGGGGAAGAAAAAGGGGCCCAGACCCCATACCCAGGCGCAAAAAAGAGACCCCTGCAGGGGCTCCGGGCGGGAAAGGGATAAATTTTCCCGGGGCCAACAGAACGAGGGAGAGAGGACAGGGAGGAAAAACCCAGGCAGGACCAAAGAAAAGGGAGGGGGAAGGGAGGGATTTTGACCCGAAAAAAAAAAAGGGGGGGGAAGGGGGGAAAAAAGAAGGGGAAAAAAGGAGGAGGGGGGAGAGGGGAAAAAAGGGCGGAGGAGGGGAAAGTTTGAGAAAGAGGGGGGGAGGGGGAAAGGAGAGGGGGAAAAGGGAGAGAGAAGGGAGAGAAACGGAGGGGGGGGAAAGGGAAAAGAGGAGAAAGGAAGAAGAGAAGAGAAAGGGGGGGAAGAGAAGGAGAAAGGAAAAAAGGGGAAAAAAGAAGAGAAAGAGGAAGAGAAGAGAAGAAAAAAGAAAAAGAGAAGAGAAGAGAAGAGGAAAAAAGAAGAAGAAAGAAAGAAAAACGGGAAAAAGAGAAGAGGAGAGGGAAAAGAGGGAGAGGGAAAAGGAGAGAAAGGAAAGAAAAACAGAAAAAAAGGGGAGAGGAAAAGGAGAAGAGGAAGGAAAGAAGAAAAGGGAGGAGAGGAGGAGAGGGGGAGAGGAGAGGAGAGGAGAGGAGAGGAGAGGAGGGGAGAGGGAGGGGGGGAGAGGAGAAAAAGAGAAAGGACGAGGAGGGGAGGAAGGAAAGAGGGGAGGGGAAAGAGAAAGGGGAAAGAAAGAAGAGAAAAGGGGAGAAAAGAGAAGGGGGAAAAGGGGGAAAAAAAAAAAAGGAAAAAGGAAAGGAAAGGAGAGAAAGAGAAAGGGGGAAAAGAGAAAAGGGAAGAGAAAGGAAGAAAAAAAAGAAAAAGAAAGAGAAGAGAGGAGAGAAAAAAAGAGGGAGAGAGGAGAGAGAGAGGAGAGGGAGGAGGAAGGGGGAGAGAAAAAAAGAAGAAAAGAGGAGGGAAGAAGGAGGAGAGAAAATAAAAAGAACACATCTGTCTATTTTTACCCATCAAAGTTAAACAAAATTGAAACTTTTTTTTCACTTTATATTAATGTATTAACCCCATGAATAACGTGGCAAATCCATTTAAGTAAGTAAATTAGCTTGTCAAACCAGAACGGGCCCCTAGAAACCATTTTGGGGGGAACAAAATCTGTATGGCCGAACATAAAAGGGCAGAGATTTGTAAACCCTTTTATGTGACAGCTGAGGTAGATCATAAAAAAACCTGGTAGCTCACCTCACTGACGTCGATGCCGTTGTTGACGGACCAGGTGGTCTGGAAGCACTCCATCATGCGTTGTTCCAGGGCCTTGGGCAGCCGTTGGTACCCGGATGAAAGTCCTTAGGTCCTTGTACGTGTGTGGGTAGACGGGAGCGCCGAGAGTACATTCCTCTGGATGATGGCTGGGTCACTGTTTACGCACACCACGGCATGCATCAGGGTGGGGGGAGAATGTGGAGGGGGGAGGAGGAGGGAGAGGTGGAGGGGTGGGAGGTGGACGAGGGGAGGGGGATGGAGGGTGGAGGGGTGGCGAGGGAGAGATGGAGGTTTAGAGAGAGGAGAGAGGTGAGAAGGGAGAGGTGGAGGGGTGTGGTGGAGGTTGAGAAAGGGAGAGGTGTGGGAGAGGTGTGGAAGGGTGAGAGGAGTGGTGGAGGGGTGGGAGGGGAGTGGTGAGTGGTGGGACTGGAGGGGTGGATAGGGAGTGGTGGAGGGGTGGAGAGGGGAGGGGTGGAGGGGTGGAGAGGGAGAGGTGAGGGGTGGAGAGGGAGTGGTGGAGGGGTGGAGAGGGATTGGTGGAGGGGTGGAGAGGAGTGGTGGGGTGGAGAGGGAGAGGTGGAGGGGTGGAGAGGGAGGGAGAGGTGGAGGGTGGAGGTTTGTAGAGAGGGAGAGGTGGAGGAGGGTGAGGTGGGGTGGAGAGGGAGTGGTGGAGGGGTGGAGAGGGAGAGGTGGAGGGGTGGAGAGGGAGAGGTGGAGGGGTGGAGGTGTAGAGAGGAGGGGTTGAGAGGGAGAGGTGGAGGGGTGGAGAGCGGAGGTGGTGGAGGGGTGGAGAGGGAAGAGATGGAGGGTTGGAGAGGGAGAGGTGAGGGGTTGAGAGGAGAGGTGGTAGGGGTGAGAAGGAGAGTGGAGGGTGGAGAAGGAGAGGTGGAGGGGTGGTTGAGTGTCTTCACTGGTTCAGCACAGTGCTAATTTGATTGGATTGTTGTTGATTAAGTACTGGACAATTGATATACAGCCATCCATCCATCCATCCATCCTACCATCCATACAGTCCAGCCATCCAGCACCTAGAATAAACCAATCCAGCAAAACAGAAAATAAAGAAATACATACAGACAATAGAAGACAGAAAGAACGCAATCAATAAATAAAGAAATAATAAATACATTACAGACATCAATCAATCCATCCCTCCACCCATCCATCCCTCCACTCCCATCCATACATACAGTCATCCCCCCATCATACCATCCATCCATCCATCCATCCATTCATCCACCATCCATCCATCAGCATCCATCCAGCAATCAATCCATCCATACAATCCATCAAACCATCCATACCATCCATCCTTCCCTCCTCCTCCCTCCATCCATCCATCCATCCATCCATCCATCCATCCCTTCATCCCTCCATCCAATCCCTCCCTCCCTCCCTCCCATCCATCCCTCCATCCATCCATTCTTGTTTTCTACAGTAATCTCTAAGGATGTGGTCTGAGTTGGCAACCCTTTCCAGGGCTCAGACTGGCACAAGCTTGGCATCAAAGTGCTTCCTAACTGGCATCCCGCTCTGCCCCGCAGCCTCTGTTGCCATAGCGACATGTCATGGTGTGTCCCTGACACTAGGCCGTCATTGGGGCTGTTTTGGGAGGCGATTCTCAGTTAATCAGAGAGCAAGCCGAGCATGAGAGAGGCTTCTAACTCTTAACATATTGACTCTCTTGCTGTCAGACCTCCTCCTGTCTGTCCTGGTAACTCTGTCGTCTGTGTGTGGACCACTGGCCTCCTACTAGCTACAGACCTGAAGTCAACATCAAATCAACATCAAATTTGGGTTGATAGATGATTGAGTTTAGTTAAACCAAACCTGGTAAACATTCCTGCTGATGATTGTGTGGTTGAAATCTGGGTTAGAATTAGATCGAAAGGTTAAGGTTTATATAACGTCCCACTCAACTCCTTTACCCTCCCTGTCTCCTCCCTGCCTTGGATGGGCAATCTGAGAACACAGTAGTTATGGGATGGGGTTGCCATGGCGCCAGGGCTGGGGGCCATGTTTTAGGGTTCAGACTTGTGCTTGAGCACCCAGTGTGCTGATAGTGTGTACAGAACCACAGGGCAGTAATGCAGAGACGTGACAAACTTTGATTGTGGAGGGGACTGTCCCTATAATGCTTCATGCTAGCCACCTAAACAGTGAGTCAGTGTGTCTCACCTCCTAACAGTGAGTCAGTGTGTTTCACCTCCTAACAATGAGTCAGTGTGTCTCACCTCCTAACAGTGAGTCAATGTGTCTCACCTCCTAACAGTGAGTCAGTGTGTCTCACCTCCTAACAGTGAGTCAGTGTCTCACCTCCTAACAGTGAGTCAGTGTGTCTCACCTCCTAACAGTGAGTCAGTGTCTCACCTCCTAACAGTGAGTCAGTGTGTCTCACCTCCTAACAGTGAGTCAGTGTGTCTCACCTCCTAACAGTGAGTCAGTGGTCTCACCTCCTAACAGTGAGTCAGTGTCTCACCTCCTAACAGTGAGTCAGTGTGTCTCACCTCCTAACAGTGAGTCAGTGTGTCTCACCTCCTAACAGTGAGTCAGTGTCTCACCTCCTAACAGTGAGTCAGTGTCTCACCTCCTAACAGTGAGTCAGTGTCTCACCTCCTAACAGTGAGTCAGTGTCTCACCTCCTAAACAGTGAGTCAGTGTCTCACCTCCTAACAGTGAGTCAGTGTCTCACCTCCTAACAGTGAGTCAGTGTGTCTCACCTCCTAACAGTGAGTCAGTGTCTCACCTTCTAACAGTGAGTCAGTGTGCCTCACCTCCTAACAGTGAGTCAGTTTGTCTCACCTCCTAACAGTGAGTCAGTGTGTCTCACCTCCTAACAGTGAGTCAGTGTCTCAACTCCTAACAGTGAGTCAGTGTGTCTCACCTCCTAACAGTGAGTCAGTGTCTCAACTCCTAATAGTGAGTCAAGTGTTGTTCACCTCCTAACAGTGAGTCATTTGGTGCCTCCCTCCTAACAGTGAGTCAGTGTCTCACCTCCTAACAGTGAGTCAGTGTGTCTCACCTCCTAACAGTGAGTCAGTGTCTAAACCTCCTAACAGTGAGTCAGTGTTCTCACCTCCTAACAGTGAGTCAGTGTGTCTCCCCCACCCTCCTAACAGGGAGTCAGTGGTCTCCCCTCCTAACAGGGCGTCAGTGTCTCACCTCCTAACAGTGAGTCAGTGTGTCTCACCTCCTAACAGTTAGTCAGTGTGTCTCCCCTCTTAACAGTGAGTCAGTGTCTCACCTCCTAACAGAGAGTCAGTGTGTCTCAACTCCTAACAGTGAGTTAGTGTCTCAACTCCTAACAGTGAGTCAGTGTGTCTCACCTCCTAACAGTGAGTCAGTGTGTCTCACCTCCTAACAGTGAGTCAGTGTCTCACCTCCTAACAGTGAGTCAGTGTGTCTCACCTCCTAACAGTGA